CTGTTCATCTCGTGTCATTGATTGCGTAAGCAAAGACAATATACCCCCATAAAGTAGTGTTTACATTTCTTCAGCCCCTTTGACCCTTTGCTGCAGTCCCGTGTCCTTTTGTGTTATACAAGAGGGTGGCGGACCAGCTTTTATCATACTGATAGAGCGTTTAAACCATCCGTTACCATTTCGGAGATACGGCCTTCGCCGGGGCAGGGGGACGCCGCTGGAACCGGCCACCCCCTCCGGCCGGAGCTGGCCCCAGCTGCCCCAGCACCGCTCCGCGGGCGCCTCTGCGCTCCTCGGCCCCGGGAGTTCCAGGGCCGGAGGGACTAACGCCCCCCGAGGGGGCCACCCACACCGCGCTTCTCCTTCTTGAGTTGCGCGCCTTGAGGTGCTCGAGGACAAGCCTGCAGAGCGCTAACGCTCTGTAACGCTACCCCGAAGTTGTAGGGGCTTAGTGCCTTTGGGGCAAGCAATACAAATATAAAAGATACTCCTGAGGGTCTGGGCCAAAATGTTCTAAATAAAGCATGCAAAACAGTGAGTGCTTTCATTTTGTTCTTCATATTTCTCTCTTACTCCTTATCTTAATATTAAGACTTAGCACTGGAAAAGCCCCAAACCCTTAGCAATTCAGGCATGGCTTTTTGCACGTACTATTCACATCACAGCTTCCCCTGTCAGCATAAGGACTTGCTTATTTTTGCTTTGAATGAAGCATCTGGCATAGTTACTTTTCTATCATTTCAAATACTATTCCCTGCCTTCAGTGTTTTAGGAAGTCTTGCTAATATGTTAATACAGGTACTGCAAGACCAATTTGATTAGTATATATAAAGTGCTTTGAACAAAACCAGTGCCATAGCAATGCTAACGAGATGATTTTAATTTGTTGGTCTTTGTGTTACTTGCCTCCCCTTGTTTTAGAAAGTGAAGCATGTTTTCAGCTCACTGTGTACTATATACATCAATTACTTATGTCTAACTCAGTGATTATTAAAAACAGCCTCTTTTTTTTAGAATTCTCCTTAAAAACTTCAGAGATGTGATGGAGATTTCATTTCAGAACATGTGTTTTGATTCTTGCCTTAAAACTTGTTTATGAAGCTGTCATTGTCTTTATGCAACTCGGTTCCCTAGTAGGTGCAGTTTCCAGAGTATAAAATCCCCCCGTGATCTCACTGAGCATGTTTCTTTTCAAGTGAACATCACAGGGCAGGAGATGCTACTTGACAGAACAAATATAATATGATCTTCACTAACTCCTCCCAACTCCCTGGCTTACTTCAATTACAAGCTGAGTCACTGGCAGGGCAATAATCTTCTGTCCACTTTTTTAAAAATGTGAGAGCAAGTCATTGCCAACCGCTTTATTAGAAGATTGTTATGGCAGTTTTGTGCCCGCTTACGTGGCATTTTCCATTTAGAAGTTTTTTTTCTCGAACCAGTCTCATGGAATACGATCAATGGCTACCAGCATTCATAGACACGTGACTGCCCTAAGATGACTACAGCAAACAAAACCCTCCCTGTTGACAAGGAAGGAGGACAGTGTTACTGCACAAGTTGAGACAATGTATCTGCAGAGAACACCAATCAACTTAAGGAAGCAGCTGAAAGACTTCATTTTCTTCCGCACTGCTTGAGTTACTCATTGCTCTTTGCCTTTCTCATAAAAGTACTGTTATTCCTTCTATTGTTTAATCAAACTGCCTGGCAAAGCGTACAGCTTTGAGTAGTACCTAGGTTCCTTATAACTGAAATATTATAGCTATGTAAATATATATATATTTCATATTTATAAATATTTATTTTTAGTATTTAATACAAATACTTAATATAAATATTTATGTTTATGTTTATAATATAAAATGACTGAGTTTGCTCTAAAATTGACTTCTGTGTGATTGCAGGTCAATGGCACTTTTTTCTTTACTTTTAATTAAAACTGGACAACTACTTTTTTCATCCCTCTCAACTTTAGCTCACAGTGTTAGGTCAGCAGAACAAACACTGACTGATAAAAGAAAAGAGGCTGAAGTGGTTGTCAGAGAAAGGTGATGCCCCCCAGCATCTCTAGATCCATGATTACTCTTCACTGTCGGCAAAAGGGCTGCCCCATAGCAACTCTGCTACATATGATGGGGACAGAGCTTTGCGCAAGGATGAAAGCATGGACTCTGCAGTATGACACGGAAGCACTGCACTGGCTGGTGGTAGCAAAAGCAGGCAGAGGTGAAGCAATTATATACCCCCTAGTAAACCTGCATTTGGCCTGTTCTGCCAAGATGCCTTTGGTCATTTGTTTCTAAACTAAAAGCATCTTAAATGCAGATGTAGTCTAATCAGATGCAATAGAGGTTCAATTCAGTTAGACGTCATACTTGTGTAACTTACACAGCTTGTTATGTAGACTATAAAATAGCGACTTGAAGATGTTTGCACAGTGTAAGCTTTGCTCTTCCTTGAGTTTTGTTCTGCTGTCTCAGACTCAGAATAGCAGTTCCTCTGTTATTCTACCTGGTACTTGCTTCTTTTGTATACTAACTGCAAATGATTACAACAGGAGCTGTAACTCCACAGTGCACATAGAAACAAGGACTAAAATGTTACTTGAGAAGTCTCTGTGTAGACAATTTAAGGGATAGTTCTTTTAAAAAGTAAACAAAAACAAGGCATTAATCTCAGCTAATGCGCTCGGGATTAAGCCAAAGTAAGTGGCAACTTAGAACTCTCTATTAAGGCAGGGTAAGATTGGTTGCTCAGGAGTACAGATGAGGCATGCTGTACTTGGACATCGTAAGTTTTGTTGGCCTGTGACCTGTATTCATCTAGGTGGAAAATCAAGGGTTTGATCTACATTAAGTCTTTCCAGCTGGAAACCTTTATGCAAAATCACTTACTTGAATTACTTCTCTGAATATTTTTTTTTTCTAATTTTGAAATTGCATCACGCTTCAAAAGTGAAAACCTGATTTCCCCTTTGCTAATGGTAATAATCAGCTGATTTTGGCTTACTGAGGTGATACATGGAGAAAGAACTGACTTCAGCCATTTTCCTTGGTGTTTCTGGAAACTTTTTAAAGCAAGCTAGAGCACAGGCGTATTTTAATAAATGATCATACTCTCAATAGAAGTCAAACAAATAAGATCTTTTTTCTAACCCCCTTTTTTTAGACTTGCTAACAGATGGCCACTATATCAGGTATTGACCTTAATTACATTTCAGACTAGAAATTTTAGCCTGAACACAAATTCAATGCAAGAATAAAATAATCTCTGGACAGAGCCCTTCTCTTTACTTAATGAGTAATAACAAGCTAGCTTTATCTTTACGTGGAGAGCACATATACCTGGTTTGGTACTTTGCATTCATGCTAATTTTAACTGACCTTGTTATGGAAAGTCCTTTCATATCTGTTACTCTGACATTTCTCTCCACTTACACTCTCCTTTTTCCCCCATTTCCTGCTTATGTTTTATGTAATGGCAAGTTCTGTGTCAGGTTAAGTTGGCTTACACATATTTGCAAAGCATGTGCATATTAAACAGCATTTTAGGATCCACAAGTCAACTCATCTCATACTGGAAATTGTGCCTGGTTTAGTGTAAGTCACACAACATTAGGCCCCTGTTCAAAACTTCCAAGTTACTGAAACAGAACTGTAGGGCAGAAAGGGGTAGAGGGATGGTATGCAGAGATACATTGGTAGCATGTGGAAAGCTCCTTCAGATCAGCACAGGTGGTTAGCATATCCCACCACTGGGTCTGGAACTATGTGCCTTTAATGGCAATATGCAGTCTCTATGCATTGAAGCCCATTTTTTTCTGAGCAGCCACTGTAGTCTGACTTGCTTTTACAGTAAAAGGGTTGTACGCTGATCTCCTGCGCCCATGTTTTTCATTTACATAACTATTGCAAATAGGTTCCTGTTGCATGTTTATTCTTCAAGTCACTGGTTCACTCCCTACATTTCTGTTTAGATAATAAAACTATGCAAATCCCGTTTACTTATGTAGCTATAATCTCAGGCGGCTTCTGCTAAAGTATTTTGGTTAAAAGATTGTAGCGCTTTTTTTTTTTCTTTTACACATTCTACAGGCTTTTAAATGGAATAGAAAAAAAATTCTGACTTAGAATTCAGACTTAATTGTAGATGTGAGTTGACTGTGTCCCTGGGAGTCATGGAAAGATAAAACACAGTTTAGACGATGACATGCAGAAATATAATTTGACATGCCAAGAAAAAGAGATAAGATTGACTGGTACACCCAGTAATGAAAGATGTTAAGCTTAAATTACCATCCTATAATTTTCTGCTTTGAATACGTGACTGCGTGCACACTAAGAAAGTATCTTCCAGGCAAGAGCGTTTGACCTCATTAAGACAGAACTGCTGTTCCTCAGTTGCCTGTACATGTTGCATACGGAAGCAAATCTGCAGTAAACCCCATGTTTTTTAACAGGGGGAAAACTACTGCAAGTGAAGATGAAAAAAATCAGTTTTAAGAGTACAATTACCAAAAGCCTATGTTCAGAAGCACACAGTCTTCAAAATCCAGTTATTGGATCTTTTCTTGTAAGCAAGAAAGCAAAGTAGCCAATTCTATTCCAAAATAGCCCTTTTCCAATAGGTCTTCTTAAGAGGGTCCTAATGTCTAATCTCCGCTATTCCAAAATAGCCCTTTTCCAATAGGTCTTCAAGTTAAGAGGGTCCTGATGTCTAATCTCCTTCTGATGAGCATTATTTTAATTCTGTCATTTACAGTCAGACTGAAGTCTAGGGCTTTATTCATATAGGCAAAATTTCTGAATGCAAATGCACTTTGAACAATGTGTAAGGCAAAAGTAACTTGAGGACAACTCCTGTTCTGTAATCCCTGAATCAGATCTGCCAATTAATGGTCAGCCCTGCTGATTTTTTTATCTGATATTAGGGGGCATGCAAGTAATCACTGCCATTTCAAGTCAAAATCCAGAATTCGCCTTCTCCTTTCCAACAACAGTTCATGTCAGCTTGAATTACACATGCATAACACAAACTCAAAACCTTACTCTGTGGTAAGCAGGTCAGGTTTATTTTTCTGCTGTGAGCTGTTTTAATAGAAAGATCGGAATGCTAATTCAGCCTTCAAGTCCCTATTAGTTAAGGCCCTCTGGGTAGTGCTTTCTCGGCCCTTTGAGAAAGAGCGGGGGGGCGGGGAAGCAAGCAACTTGGCTACTACAGCATAGATCTCAACTATGCTGAAATGTTTGGTTTTGCCAGCTCCCTTATTATACAGCTTGTTTGTGCAAGTCACAGCAAAAACAGACTCGGCTTGTGCTAAGGAAATAGCAGAATGTTTCATATTGTGATTTTATTGCCTGATAACCGTCAAGAGGAGGCACAAAGCAATGGCAATGAAAATGAAACAATGAAGAGCAGCCAAGACTGGACGAATTCTGAAATTCAGAACTAGCTGAAATACCAGGTTGCTCTTCTGGGATTAAAAACACCCAATATTTTCATAGCCTCCTCAAGGGAACCCTTTTCAACTCTTTCCTATTGCCATTACCAAATCCAAATCACACATAGCTCGCTACAGACTGAGGGGTTTCCTTTGAAATTTTCTGAAGACTTTAGCAAAGGCAGCTTTACATCAGTTTGCACCCTTCTTTACTCTTTCTGGCCGCAGTGTTATTTTGCAATTTGCCAGCAGTCCTAGGTGGCACGATCATAAAGGGAACCTCCAGGCATACTAAAACTCCAAAGAAACAAACCAGCTCCTGGCAGTGTATTGCCTTCATGTTAGTTTTTTGGGATAGTGTATGTTCTGGCATTATATCTTCTCTTTGATCAAATAATTCTCCCAACACTTGTTGCATGGTGACTCTCTCCTCGACAGACAGCTCATCATTTCATACTGTACTCCTTACCTGCTGGCTTTCTTGAGGCCATGGGGGTGTCTAGGGGAAGAGCAAGCTTCTCCAAACCTGGTTAACTATGTAAAGATTTGTATTGACTCTGCACCAATGAATTATGGTTCAAATATGAAAATCCCTTCTCCCAACGTTGTATGATACTTAGAACACTGATACAGCTGTCAGAATAATTCTGTCTGACCTGCTTCAGGTTTCAGAGGCTTTTCATCTGGTCTCTTAAAAGACTGCATTTCCTCTGAGAAGAGGAGGGTGACAGAAGTAACTGCTGAAGGAACTGATTTCCAAAGAGCTTACTGCAAATCTGGGAAGATTCCTTTATTCCATTAAAATCCTTTCATTATCAAGAAGACAACAACTGAAAAAAAGCTTTACATCTGAATTTGGAAGTGCTGGCTTTGATGGCTTCTTCAGCTTTAAAAATGGCTACTACAATTAGTCCCTTTGCTAACAATTTCAAAAGAATGGCAGAAGATTGGCTTTGTTCCCAAGAAGATGATGAATGATGTTGTTACAACAGTATGAGGTGCCACCAAACGCAGAAGTCTGTAGCAATGGTTATTTTATAGGGCTTTTCCTCCTTTATGTGTTTCATACCCTCTTCAGTAGACATGAGTATCAACCTGGTACTTTCTGATCCTGAGTTTGTTATTAGAGCTCCTGTTCTGCAACCTTCACTTTTTCAAATCTCTGCCTGCTGGTAGAGGCCAGTTACAATCCAGTCAGACTGCCTCTAGAACACACCTTGAAAGCCTGCCCGTACTGAGAGAGAATATGAGGGTGAGGGCGAGACTGCGAGAGAGTAGGGGGGCGGGGGAACCTCTCCATCACAAGAAGAAAGCAAAACAATTCCAATGGCCTAGATTCTGCTCCCCCTGTATGTTCCTTGGCTTGCCAGGGACTTCAATTGTCTCACCACAGGCATGTTGCTGACATGGTCAAAGACTGGTCAGCCTTCTGCAGTGAAATAAATCTTGCCCTAACAAACTATGTCCTGTTGCAGCACTTTTCCTGCTGTCCTACAACCTGATGTTGAGGTTATCAACATCACATTCACACTTACTCCTTTCATACAGATCTTTTCATAGACCTTCCCAAAAGTACTTGACATTAATCTTCACTTGGATACCCATGCACACCAGTGCCATCACCATAGGAGAAGCCTTGACACAAGTAACCAACGACTAATGCCACTCTGTCTTAAGGATTTAAATAGAAATCCACCCCGAACTCATCTGCAGAGTCATAGGCACTGTCTAGACTTCCCTTGATGTCAGCTTCTGATATTCTTGCTTTGAGACTTTGACTCATTAGCATTTGACACTTGTTCTTGCCTGTTACTGTTTCCTGTTCCGTCTTTACGAAATGGTAAGATGAACTTTTTGTTCTGGAGGAATCAAAACTAAATCTGAACAACTTCTGATATTCCATCTTTCCACAGAAAGACTGGAAATCAAGTAATAGAAAAAGATGAGAAAAAAACTTAAGTAGTCATAACAATTTTTTTCTAGATTTCAGTAGGAGGAGATATAGTGAATCTCATGAAGACAGTTCTGAACATTTGCTAATACTAACTAGTTGTCAGGAAAGGCAAAGGCCCCAGTTATTTAAAAGCATCTCTCTTTTGAAAGACAAAAAGGGCAACAGCTCTTGTAGCTGAGACCAAGAAATACAAATTAGTCAAGAGGACCATGGGCCTTTAAGCAGGTATGTGGGAACAGCATGTACAACACAGAAAACATAATTGTTCTGTCTCTACCAGTGTTTTACAGGAAAACAACTGTTATGTATGTTTTGCTATTTTTTCCAGATCAATCATTTTAGGTAGTGTGGGGTTTATGGCGTAGGTGATGATTATGTACTTGCAGCTGATGCCTGAAGGCAGTGATGGCATAAACACTGAGTTTGGCACTGGCAGAGAACTGGATGCTAATAAGCAACAACATTATTTACAATAAACCTGACACAGACACCAAAAAGTTCTGTTACCTTTGTTATAAAGGCTGTTACCGCTATAAAAACTTGATAGGTACATTATGAAGTACAGGGTACCTTTCACCGTTTCACTAACCAAAGAAGCAACTATTCTTTATTGCAGATCACAATAGTATTTGTGTGCAAAACCTATCTAATTTGTCCAACATAATATATTTATGTTGTTAGGGGTTTTGTTTGTTCTGTTTTTAATCTGTCTCTGTTAGAAGGCTTCCCTATTCTCTCTCATACTTAAATATACATTAGAAAAGCTATAAATTTGTTCTTGCCTACCTCATTTATTCTTCTTGTAATGTTGGCCTTTACTTCCAGTTAATCTTTTTTATTTAAATCAATGGTGTTTTTTTCTACCAGTTAGTTCCTTGCCTTTTTTCCCTTATTTTATTTTGCTTTTTAAAGAGCTGTGATTGCTAATCAACATTCATCAACTGTTTTCCCCCTGTTCTCATGATGTATTCAGTTCCTCCAGCCAGAAAAAATGGCTGCGTGTTCAGATTTCAGAGATTAGGAAGCTTTTAAATATTCATGGTGATTATTTAGCACTTCTGCTGTTTATCATATAGACCCTCACTATGATACACTTTGTAAAACATCTGTATATGGAAAAGGGGGGTCATCACACAATTAATATTTAATCTAAATAGAAAATAAATAAGCAAGCAGTATCTTTACTCTTCATACTCTAAAAATTACTAAAGGTCTTGAGGTTTCTTTTGTTGGTGGATTTCTCAAATGTCCTCAAATATTTTTAGCTTCTTTACTGATCCATCCCTCCCTTAGGTGCATCAAACAAGTTGCTCTAATACTGACAATTCAAAATGCCTCTTTTTCATCTTTTCTACTTCAACATGTAGTTTCCAGGCAAGTCAATCTCTTACTTGTAGCTAGCAGAAAAAAAAAGCCAGCCTATGATTTAAAAATGTGTCACAGTCAGCATCACTTCTGTAAAGCATTTAAGATTTACTGGCAGTATTGTATAAGAAATGCATTAAGTTTTACATTAAACACTGTCTGTTCTGAGATTAGGCACTGTTTAGTTACAGCCATATGACAGATACCAGAAAAGAGGAATTGTTTATCATCTACTTCAGCCCTAACAATACATTGTGAATTATCTCTTTTTAGGGAATCAAAAAACCTTTTACTGAAGTAATTAAAGCCAACATCGGAGATGCACATGCAATGGGACAGAGGCCAATCACCTTCCTCCGTCAGGTAAGAATATTATAAAATATCATTCCTGATTTTTTATTAGATTACCAAGAATGCCTTAAAATCTGATGTGTGTATTAGTATAAATAATTCCCTAGATGCACTTAGACTTAAAATAGTTCTTTTGTAAAGAATTGCAAATCTTGATTTCTGAGATGAAGTCCTATACTTTGCTTGCTCAGTTTCCTCTTTCAACATAGTAGCTTTCCTCACTTTTCAGATCATTCCCCATCCATACTTTCTCCTCCCACTTCTCCTATGTTATCAGTCAACATATTCATTATCAATAATGCACTTGAAAAAATAAACTGGTTGTCTTCAAAGAAAACACCAAATACCTTTCTTCATCTGAGAGTATCCTTTAAGATGTGCAGGCAGTTGGGTGCAACTAGTTGTACCGTTGCTGATTTGGCGCATTCTACCTCTAGGCAAGCCTAATTGGTAGGTTATCTTTTAGGAAAAGACTACAACAGAATCTGCATTTGTATATTGTTCCTAAAACACAAGCAAGGTGTGAAACTAATCTTATGCTATTTACTGAGCATCCCCTACACGCACACATAGTGTCTATAGTCTATAATAATGTAAATTCAGAGAGTTCCAGGACAAACTGAAGCTGTATCAAACTGGGGGTGGAGGTGATGAGATTATAGAATTGAACTATATAGCAAACTGTCCCACAAGATGACAACAGTCTATCCATATTAAACCATGTAAGCACAAAAATTGAACAACTTAAGCTGATCTCAAGCAAGACCTCTAGATTCTTTCTATCTTACATTCCTTCATAAGGATTCCGCTGGGTCATGTTTCTAATTTTACTATGTTCTATGTCACCACTTCTTTTTTAATTAAATATTTCCCACAAATACAAATTAGCAGTAACTATAAGTTATTTTTGGGAAGGATTATTAGAACATGCAACTGGAACTTCAAAATTTGGTCATATTTCTCAGTTCTGCTCCATATTTAAACTCTCGATTCCTTGTCAATAAATTGGGCTAGTAACACATGAAGAGTGGAGGATAGAGCTATTCAGAGATAACATATGAATAATTAACTGTGTTTTACTGTGTTTGCACTATGCATAGCTCACTTGGACTCCTATCTTCGCTGTCCACAATACAAATAGTTAATAATTCTATAACTGTTTTAATCAGTGGAACTTGGAACTCGATTTTCTTTACTTCTGTAAGCACTACCCTTGAAAAAGGAACTGCAAACTCTTCATCAATAACTTTTGTTTTAAATTAGCTAGTATTTTTGATCTTAATTTCCCAGGAAAGTTAACAGTAATATTACCAACTTAAAATAACCATTGAGAAGTGGCCAATTTACATTTTCTTGGCACTCTAGGTAGTGGCACTGTGTACATACCCAAACCTGTTGGACAGCCCAAGTTTTCCAGAAGATGCCAAAAAGCGAGCCAGACGGATCTTGCAGGGTTGTGGAGGAAACAGCTTAGGTAAGCATCTGTTTCAGTTGCTCCTGTTGGATTAGAATCAACAAAGGTAGTTCCAATATCTGCAGCACTGAAATTTCTTAATCATGTTTTATATGATTACAAGTCAAATGGGAGATGTCCTAGGGCAGAATGATACTGGGAGAGTTCATGGTGTGGCCTACTCATGAGACTTGTCACAGAAGAGGACAAGATGGGGATTATACAGTCATGGAGCCCTCACCACAATAGCATCTAGGCATAACCCTGAACAGAATGCTGAGCTTTTTTTTTATTAGAAAAGTAAGTGGCAGAGAGAGTACTAGTGAAGCTTTGTTATTGTTCTTATGACCTCTGTTAATGCTGGGCTTTGACAGCTATGTCTCCTGCTAAGTCTAGGTGGGGCTGTTTACAGTTTTATCACCTCTAGATGTTTCTCTGCCAAGGAGTCCACTGTCCCTGTAATGATGGTATCAACAAACAATGTATGTCCATCTCAGCTGATCCAGTTCACAGTCCTGTATCTTAATTTTGAACTATCAGTTCAAGTATGTTTGTGAGGATATGAACTGGGGTATCAGAACCTCAGGTACCAAGGTGATAATGCTCTGCAAAGGGAAAGCTACACAGCTGAAAGGTGGTAGCTTTTTAATTAGCTGAGATAATTTTAACTGAAGATGTCAAAGCCCTATTTCTCCAAGGTAAAATAACCCTTGAAAGAACTAAAGAACTCTGTTCTTCAACCACTGTTACTGCAAGAGAGTATGTATAATATACACATAAATAAGTACAAACTTTGCATATTCAGTAGAGAGGAAATGGAAGCGACAAATTCTTTATCATCTAGCAACTGTACTGCCTACTTGTACCTGGGAAATGCCATTACAATTTGTACTCTGCAGATAGTGTTACAGCTGCTGGGTACAGCAAAGAATCTGGTACACCTAACTACCTTCTTTCAGGTAGGCTAACAGTGACATTTCAGAGTATGTACTAGATAACTGGTATATTTCTTAATCTTTGGGATTGCAGTGCCTGTTTGCACTGGCATGTTTTGAGAGTAGGTGATGTGAAACTTAGTAAAATAAACAAAACCTAAATAGTGGTTACGTTAGCAGTATTTCAGCCTTGGACTATTCCTAACAATGCAGCCTAATACAGAATGTATTTTGTCTTTGCCTTTTTTGCATTGGTTTTGTTTCTATATGTAGAACATTAAAAATACATTTATCAAAACCGAGAAGTTCCTCTAGTTCCATTAATTCCTTTCCTGGCTTACTTTGGAACAATTAATCTACATAGTACTAGTTGTCATGTAAGAGTTACTGGGGATACATTTGAATTTTACCTCAATCTTTCTTTGTAGTGACATGGTAAGAGTTCTCAGAATGCTGGGTCTCGGCCCCATGCTGGAGTGAAATGAAAGGAATTCAGCCTTGCATGATATTTCAGAATATGTTGACTCTGTACAAAATCCCCTTTTCAGCAGAAGATCATGCATTTCAAGTAATTTGCATTAGCTCAGTTGATGCTGAGAAAGTATGCCTGAAACAGTTGCAATATTCAAATAAGATGATCATTCTGAATACACCCTTTTAATTGCCATGGATAAATTGAAGTTCTCTAAGTAACTGGGGTCTAAATTATTTTTTTCCTGATATGATACATACCAAGAACACCTATCCCTCTAAATTCCTGAAAACTAAAAGCACTGTAGACCTTACGGATCTGCTGTACTGGCTTCTGCCTTCTCTCCACCCTCCCTGTCTCCAGTATCATGTATCAGCCCCTTCTCTTGGCCTCAGTTGCTCATCAGCCTCTGTGCAGCACTCCATAAACAGGCAGTCTGGGGCAAGTGGATGTGCAGCTGAATGGAAGTTACTCCTATCACTTAGCTGGTAGTCTCACAACTTACTGCTGTTCTCTTCATGGCTGAGAAGGAGAAATTGGCTTTCTTGGAAAAAAGTGAAGGTCAAAACCTGATCCCTCCATGTAGCTTTAAGTGCTGTGTCATTTTCTAATAAAACCTTATTTTAAAAAAATTTGTCAGTCCAGCACAGAAGTGGCTTCACTACATATGGTGAAGTTATTTGAAGCACTGTACCCACATCTATACTGGCCTATTTAAATGTATTAGTTGCAAAGTTAATATGAATGTCTTGACCTCTGGATATGAACTAACCAGTGAATGTTCATTTGGCAAAACTCTACTCATAGTATTGTGCCTGGCTACTCCCAGAACATGTATGAAGGCTCAGATATGTTCTCAACTTCTGTTGTGTTCAAATACTCTGGGATTCCTTTAACATCACTTTGCATGTGGGATAACTGTCATATCTTTCCAGGCAGTTGAGAAGTTTACCCCTTTTCTATATATAAAAATATCTAATGCATGCACATGCAGCTTTTTGGGTTGGGTTTATTTAATTGCATCCCACAGTGCAAACAGATGGGTTCTAGTCAAAGCTATCAATTGAGTACAATTAAGTGTAGAAGACCTGAAAATTCAATTCATGTCTTCTGTATATCCTCACTGAGTCATGGGACTCAGCCTTCAGTGGAGCACAGGACGGAATGACAGCTTAGGTTTATTCTCCTACTTTAATAGCAGCTTCCTAGCTGTGGTCAAAGACCCATGTATAGACCCTATATAACTTTTAGTCCTGTAAAAGTAAATGTTTAGGACATCAGGGAACTTTGTGCCCTAATTACCATTTTGTCCCATGCAGTTGTGCAGTATTTGCAAAGGTTCTTTGTCTTTATAAATTATGCTTTCACAGAATTATTTTCAGGCAGACTACTAGCGTATAACTGAGTGATGAGAGTTAAGTCAGGCACAATTATTCCACTCCACACAACAAGCAAAGAAGATTCTGCAGCTTCATGACAGTGTTCTAAATTAGATGTACACTTGTCACTTCATTGTCCATCAATCTTAGGCTTCATAGCTTGAATCCATTCCTCACCTTGGCTTAGGCTTATTTATACTCTTATATTTGTTGCACATGCTCAGCAATGATGCACACGGGCATCTAACATTTTGCTTTATTTAAGATTATTAGTTGTGCTCTGTAAACTGCGCATGAGGATTGGGGTGATCCTAAATGTTTCTGTTACAAGTAACTGAAAAGTGATTGTGGGAGATGTTGTGGGAAGAGAGAGAAGCAGTTTAGGATTTTGGGGGTTTCAGACTGTGGAAGAAAATGGTATATTATTTTCATATTGCAAATAGAAATCTTATTTTTGTCATGGATTTGAAGAAGTTATTTCCCTTTCTATTGCACATGCTACCTCTGTTCCTCATTCCAATACTTAAATAGGTGTTGGTTGACATTCTGAAGTGGTTTTTAACATAAAGAAAGCAACTGGGAGATAGTCAAAGGGAATTACTGTCCCAGTTTGCAAAGTAGCCTTTAAATCCTGCTTTTTACCAATCAGTGTATTTTTTGTATTTTAGTGATACTTATTATATTTGTCTAATTCCAAATTAATTCTTTTGCTCTATGAACAAACAAGCTCCCTTTCTTACTCCTTGAAAAAAACCCCCAATCCTGGGGATCCAAAGCCCTCAAATATACCAACTACTTCATACAATACTAGCTCAGGAGTTTTGCTAGCAAGCAGAAAATCTGATGTTCATTGTACTCAATTCTCATCTCGTTCTCTATTTTTCACAGGATCTTACAGTGCCAGTCAAGGTATAAATTGCATCCGTGAAGATGTTGCTTCATATATTGAAAGAAGAGACGGAGGGGTTCCTGCAGATCCAGATAACATATATCTTACCACTGGGGCAAGTGACGGTATTGCTGTAAGTGTTAAAATTAAACCTGTCTCTTCCTGGTATAAGCTATAATTTATCCGTTCCTTTTGGAAATACAGATCTCTCTTCAACATCTGGTCTCACAAACTCCTGTGAGTTTGATCTAACAGATACTGAAGTCACATTAAGTGGATATCCAATACACCCAATGATGTGGATGTAAAATGCCAGCTAAGAAACAGGTGCATGGAGACACAGTTTCTTATTATACATTAACTTGTACCTTTTGTAAAGGTAGTATAAACTACATAGGTGCCTAAATATAAATTTAGGAGATTCAGACCATTCAGACTAAATAATGATGTCCTCAGGGGTTAAGATACATAAGCACTGAAGATTAGAGGGTGTGAATCAGTGGCAGAGAGAAGAGGGAATGACCTTGGAGGTGAGAAGTCTCAGTAGCTCTTCTTCTTAGTAAACTCTCTGCTAGTGCAGATTAATGCCAGTGAAAATCCCAAGATCTATGTCAGTAGCCAGCTTGTTTGGGATAAACTTCAGGTTCTGGCTTCAGCCAAGGTTCAAAGATGGTCCTCAGTTAAGACAGGAGTAACTGTCTCTATTAGATTTTTCCTTTACACAGACACATCTACTAATATTACAACAACCACCAGTTCTTTGCTTTTATTAAGGCAGCCTTTTATAGCTTGTTTGTAAAAGTGTTTTTTTAAATGACATCTAGTGGCTGAGTTCAGAATGACAATGTTGTGACATGAACAGTTCTCCAGATGTTTTTTGTGAATTGGCTTTCCAGAGTTTATGATGTCAAGTGTTATACTGGCAGCTTGTCAGGAATGGCAGAATAGCATATCAAATCTGTACCATGCTTATTTGATGTCACCAGTGATGAAAAGTCAGCAATACAATGAGTCTCATTATTTGGCACTTCCAAGGATAAAACAACTATTGTTTCATAACTTGTGGGACAGAGGGTGCTAAAGAGTTTTTAAATTTGCATCTTGTCCTTCTTATACATTTTGGATGCTTGGTATTTTTAAACTAGTGGTGGGAACAAAATTATGTTGATTATAAATCATGAGTTAGTATGTGATGAGAGGCAATGAAAGGCAGATTTTGTTCTAGAACCAGTGAGAAACTTAAAGAATACTGCTGCTATATCTGAAGAGGTATTTTTGGTTTTACACTATCAATTACATGTGGATAAGGATGCCTGCTTTGATTGCACCTGTACTTCAGAGGTCTCTCTTGATTATAAAAGCAAGAAATCTCTCTACTTCCTGAACCAAATGCACTTTTTGATTTAATTCACATGTAAAAAACCTACACATAGAGGCACATAGACACACAGCCATTGGGTGCAGGTAAATCCTCTGGACTGACCTTAGCACAAGCATTACATTTCTGTCTGCATCTTCTGGGCATAAACCACACATGATATCCATCCCAAGACATGTAGACTTTTGGTCTCTGCTATTACTTGAAAATGAAAACATAATGTGAGTCTCTAGCTTTGTTCCCACCTGGCCACAATTGCTCCTCTTCTAAAACAGGTCTCTGTTTCAAAGGAGAACCTCCACAGGCTCCAGTTCTAATTTCTGGTTTTATTTATTGGCCTCTTGTGTTTAGTGAGATAAATGAGTGGAAAGCAACAAGCAACAACTAGCTGAGGCTTCTTTGCTTACAGCTGGGCACAGTAGAAAAATCATTATCTTGATATTCCAGTTTCCAACTTTCCCTCTAGCCTTGTGCTCAGAATGATTTTCCTAAATTCTGCAGTTGATCAGACATGATCTTTAGAAGCCGTGGCATGCAGAGGAATTCCATTAAGCTGAGTTAGACCGTCCTCACTGAGCCAGTAACTTAACTTGAAATAAATAAATGCCCTTTGATATGAAAAAATGCCTGTATGCTTCTAGACTAGAAATCTACCTTAACTCTAGATTTTTTAAGAAGGAAGATCAGTGACTTATTCTAGAGTATACAATTAATTCTGGTGTATGACTTTTTTTTTTTTTTAAATTCCTACTTTTTCCCCAGACAATTTTAAAGATCCTGGTCTCAGGAGGTGGAAAATCCCGAACAGGAGTGATGATCCCGATACCACAGTATCCTTTATATTCAGCAGCCATATCTGAACTAGATGCCATCCAGGTGAACTACTATTTGGATGAAGAAAATTGCTGGGCTCTAGATGTGAACGAACTTCGCCGTTCCTTGAATGAAGCTAAGGCGTATTGCAATCCAAAAGTCCTCTGCATCATCAACCCTGGAAATCCCACAGGTTTATAACAATTTTATTTAATTGATGGGTTTTAAGACCAATTTTTTATTTTCCTCTTTCATCCATTTGACATTGCAGGCAAATCCTAAATACGTATCAAATAAGCAAAGCTGAATTCCAGTGATCAGTGCTCTAAGTGGGACAGTATGTCATACTTTTAGAAACTTATTTTCAGTATCAGGGTACTCCAGGGATTTGGGAAGAGAGGAGGGAGCGGGTTCACTTCACTGAATCCCACTTGAAGCCACTGCTTCCAGCAAACTTTTGTGGACTTGTGGAATAACTTTCAGTCACTTTTGGTCTTTTTAAAATATCTTGTCTCTGACATGGCCTGTAGCCTCTTGCCTCTGAGAGGCAATGATTACAGGTACACTCTGAACTCTGGCAACCACTGTCTCCCTCAGAAGAATTCAGGTTTTTAAGTAGTTGAGATTGATTAGTGAGAAACTATCTCCCACTTAACCATCATGCATGTGAGTATTTCAAATGATCAGTTATACACAGAGTACTCTTAGTAAGTTATTGATTGATTACTGTATCTCACACTTCCTTTGCTTTAGATGGACTAAGTCACCTTGAACTGTAATTCCTCCAAAAATGTTCCTTAATTTCATACTTAGTGAATTGAATTCTAAAATTCAGTAGCACTTCTCTGAGAAAGAGGGATACCTTATGAAAAGCTAGTAGTCTAACTAGGTCTGGGCAAAAGGATTTGTATATATATGCTCTACTAACTTTATTCTTGCTTTAAAAATCAAACTACAGGACAGGTGCAAAACAGAAAGTGCATTGAAGATGTGATACACTTTGCTTGGGAAGAGAAGCTTTTTCTTCTGGCTGATGAGGTAATGGAATATTCTGTTCTCTCAAAAACACAGCTAAGATTATGCATATGAGGTGTAATTTTGTTCCATGTGTGGTATTGGTATTTTTTAAGTACAGAGAACAGATTCTCCTTTATCATATTAGGACATGAACAAACATGCAAGATTCTTAATATCAGAGGATTAGTGTGAGAGGTGGCTTGCTCTGGATTTGAACTAGAGAGAAAGTGTAGGGGCTACAAGCAAGGAGACACAAGGAGGAACTGACCTCGAAACCTGTGATACTCAGACCACTTCAAATGAAAGAAACAGAAGTAAAATCAACTTAAGCATACAAGTAAAGGTTAAGTTATACAAAGAAGCTCACTAGAGTGTATCATTAGAGTAACTATTACTTAACAAAGAACCTTGTGTCTTCTAATGGCTTTAAGTTTTGAGTGTTAGCACTGTTTCTTCAGTTCAGATCTGGCTCTCTAAAAGGCCGTCTTTTATCCTTAGCTGGGGGAACAGAGCACATTAATGTCTTCTGACTGTTCAGGTTTACCAGGACAATGTGTACTCTGAAGGATGCCAGTTTCATTCTTTCAAAAAGATTCTGTATGAGATGGGACCCGAGTACTATAACAATGTTGAGCTGGCCTCTTTTCACTCCACCTCTAAGGGATACATGGGCGAGTAAGTCTGCTTTAGTTTTTTTTTATCTCATCTTCCTCATTAATCTGCTTGGGCAGCCGTTTCATGTTAGTGACCTGAAGGTAATCCTCTGTCTTCTATTAATTTTAACTAAAAACTATTAAGAAAAGGAAAAGAAGCATTTAAAGCACAGAGTAATGGATTAGCTCAGTGGTTTTCAAAGTACCAAATAATAAGTGTATTTATTTCAGACACCTAATGCCTCAGTTTCACAAAGGTGAAATCCTACAGTCCTAAACCGGACCTGTGATAAAGGAAAATACGGTCTCCAACATTCAAGGGAACAGCTCAAGAACCACTGGGACACTTGCTATTACAAATGTTTGTGTTTGGATGTTTTGGGGAGGAAGAAATGGAAGAAAAGGAATTTTCTGATTAAATGAATGCTGCTACAGCCATATGCTCTTGTTCTGAAGAGCAAACAATCCAAGTTAATCGTTAACTTGCCTAACGGGGAAGCTGCGTGTACATGATTTTCTCTGTATGGGATACTAGGGTTTAATGACATATCATTTAGTTCCATCTTAAAACATTATCACTATAGCAGCTGTTTCAACAACCTGTATGTTACATGTTGTAAGATCCTCATTAATTGTCTTTCCACTTCTGCAGTTATTTTCATTGCTTTTCCAGTATTTATACACTTGAGGTTAACCGATCTTTTCTGTTCACTTTAATCACAGATGTGGCTACAGAGGAGGTTACATGGAGGTCATTAACTTGCACCCAGAAATTAAGGGACAGCTCGTTAAGCTGCTTTCTGTTCGCCTTTGTCCTCCAGTCTCAGGACAAGCGGCAATGGATATTGTAGTGAATCCTCCAATACCCGGAGAAGAATCTTATTCACAGTTCATAAAGGTTAGCAATAACATGCTTGTTCTTTTGTGCTTTTCCTAAACCTATCCTAAATATTGTGAACTCAAAATATGCACAGAGACCAGACTTCTTTCCTTTCTTCTCAGATAATCCTGTAATAACACCAATCGACAGAACTATGGGGGGTATTTTGAATTAACTCAATATGACTACCTTTAAAAATATTTTTTATTCCTTTCATGGTTCCTTTGTTTAGGAGCCAAAAAAAGCTAAGAAGGCATTATCAAATCAGCTTTCTGGCTGATAAATTCAACATTTCTCCTGTGCTTAGCATGACAAAAGAATTACTAAGTAAGATTTGCTTTTACTAAAATCTAAACGGGAATGTAAGTTCAAATACAGTTATAAAATCAGCCTTGTTCTTGGGTATCCAGTGCCTCTATATACTGAACATGGTATTCTGTATTAGAAGTAGACATATAGTTTCTCACTTGTAAAAATGAAACTGAATCTGGCTTCAGAAATTACACTATTGAGTTAGATCAAAGGTTCAGCTAACATGGTCTCTAAAAATAGTGAAGAGTGGATGCTCAGAAGGAAGCATGTAAGAAGAGGGCATGCAGACAGAGACTTCTGCGGGTTACTGTCTGTCTACCACACTTTGTAGTTGTATCCTGCTGAGGCGTTTTTGCATTGCTGTCTTTAGGAGTATGAGTGGAATTAGGAACATCATTTCCTCTAACAGCTCAGCAAAGCCCTAAAAGTGCTTAATTCGGGGAAGGCTTCTAGAAGTGCCACAGTTTTCTCTGGCGTTTTTTTTGCCCCTTGAAATATGTCAAACTGTACACTTTCCTTTTAAACAGGAGAAGGAGTCTGTTTTGAACAATCTTGCCAAAAAAGCCAAACTAACAGAAGACATGTTTAACAAGGTACCAGGAATTCACTGCAATCCACTTCAAGGAGCTATGTATGCTTTCCCACGGATCTTTATTCCTTCCAAAGCCATTGAGGAAGCAAAGGTCAGTCAGTCATTTTTATCCCAATCCATTTTGACCTTCACATGCTTGTGCCTGCCACTTCTAATGATGAATTTTTATTCCAGAGATAGAGTAAGCTCATGTAGTTACAAAAGCAGTACTTCACTGACTACGTATGATCTTAAATATAACATGACCTTTATTTTAAGAGAGGAAAACAAAACAGAGCATTTCATCACAGTGGTAAGGCTTCTGGGTTCAGAATGTTACCCAAGGACCTTGGTGTTCAATAGATTAAGTCATAGGGTGGGCAAGTAGCTGGACCTGTGCAAATTCCAAGCAGCTGCCCGTGCCTGAGTTAGGAAGGCCAGCACGTGTGATAGGGACTGTGAATGGCAGTGGGCTACTGACCCTGCACAAGAAGCCCCGATCAGCAAGTGTGGGAAAGAGGGAGGGAGGTTTCCTTGTAAATATTACTTCTGTACAACACCTTTTTGTATTTGGGCCAGTAAGCTGTATTACTAAATGACAAGTCTTTTTGTTCCTAACCAGAGCTCTATTACCTAATATGTAACATTCATTTTTTAAAGGGAATTTCATCAACATAGCTGAGGACAAAAAGCCGATTATTTGATTAGGTGTATAACCTGCATGTATTTAAGAACTTCCATAGTTATTAATCAGGGGACTTCCTATTTGGCAGATAATTCGGGGGAAAAAAATAGTAACTGGCAACAAAACTGGAACAACACAGCTCTCAAATTAATTTCATCTTGTCAAATGTCAGTGGCTTAGATTTTTGCAAGTACAATTTTGAGACTTTTGACAAAAAGTTACAAGCAAGTCAAGGAGAAAACCAAAAATAACTAACATCTTCCTTTTGAAGCAAGTGTTTTGTGTAGGTTCTTAAGCAGTACTGTTATTTAATTCACAGTTCATAGTGTGAACTGTCCCATTAGCAATTGTTCTTCATCTTCTTTAGTAAATAGAATAAGAAATAATCTAAGATAAGGTTTCAGGAAGAAAAGCAAACATGAAATTCTATATATTTGGAATATTTTGACTTTAGTAATTCCAAAACATCTGTTCCTTTAGGTGCATAAAATGGCACCTGATATGTTCTATTGCATGAAACTTCTGGAAGAGACCGGAATATGTGTTGTACCTGGAAGCGGATTTGGCCAAAGAGAAGGAAGCTACCATTTCAGGTACAGTTTCTGTTTGTTTAAAATCACATTAACTGTAATAAGCTAAGCACCATCCCAGTACTTTCTCTTCTGATTAAATAATAAGGATTTTTATTTCAGTTTATGTTGTCTCACTTTCTGCTGGACATTTTCTGTGGACTGACAGCTAGGTCAAAGACCTGATCTGCAGGTTTTTACAGTGTTTTCACAGCTTGCTGACGTAGTTTTATCTATTTTTATACACTGACATTTGAAATGCCTTCTCCACGAATACTAACAATAATAATAGCTTATACTCTAATCTTAAAGTTGGCTACGGCATTACAAAAATTTCCCTGCTTTCTTCTGAGGGGAGGGGGGACTAAACAGTGTTTCCATATGGAGAAACTGCGTGAAAATTGCAGTGTCTTCCCGATAAATGTGCTCTTTAAACACACTGAATAACTCTTCACTTTACCAAAACAAGACGTTGGACTAAATCTTCTAATACCGCAACTGTGAACATAAACTCTATTGCTCTCGCTTGCAATAAACAGCACTTTACTCCAGCCGAGCCACTGATAGCTAGAATTTATCATGGAATTTAGTCTTGTTTGGTCTGAAGCAACATAACCGAGGGTACCTTTAGCCATGACAGTTCTGCAATACAGATATCCAGCTGCTTGCAGCTCCAGGAAAAGCTAGTGTGAGTCCATTCCTGTACCAGTGTGGGAAAAACATTTTGTTCTGTAGTTCTTGCATACAGTACTGCGTGCATATGCAACGCGATTTTCAGATTATGCAGCAGGAGGAAAAAAGGGACTAAAAACTGCAGTGTGGGTTGTTGCGTTGTTTTAATGCTTCTGAATTAAGTTTTCAGTTCAAAAAGAAATGTACATTTAGTCATAATAGCCTGCCCCTAAAGTTCATAAAACTGAGTATAATTTGGCATAACTGCCCCAAAAATGGAAACTGAGTTGCTGTTAATTCTTACGGATAACCTTCGTTACCACTCAATAGAAAATAACAGTTCTTAAATTCCTACATATTAACCAATTGAAACAAATTGCTCTAGTTTAATAGTATAGTTCAATTACAGCATAAATGCAGAAAATGAGAGAATCTCATCAAACCAGATATTAAACTTGCCACATTACTAACTGAGATTAATCAAAATCTGTGAAAAGATCACAGTTTAGTTTATTTCGAAGATAATGTGGGTTGGTTATTTTCTTCCTCTAATTACTATTTTTCAGAATGACCATTCTTCCTCCAGTAGAGAAGCTGAAGATCCTACTGGAGAAAGTGAAAGACTTCCACATAAAGTTTCTTGAAAAATATGCATGAAACTACTGTGGCTTTTTCCCCTCATCCCCTCCCCTTCGAGGCGAATGCAGAAAATGAACAAAGATGTGCTGAGAATGTGCTGTTCATCTGATTTAACTAAATTCAAAGTAGATAGAACCAATCTCAGATACTGCTACAACTTATTGGACTATTAAATATAATGTCTGGTATAGAAGACGTTGTTACACCAACTGTTTTTTTAAGGGGAAGGGGAGAATGTGAAGAAAGTGGTGGAGGAAAGAGTCAGTAAATGATTTTGTGCCTTGATTGGAAGTTACATTTGTGGACTTTTGACTCAATAGGTTGGGGAAGGGAGTTGCTCATTAAATTACTACTGTTGCGTGGTTGTTTTTTTTTACAAAACAGAAATGCCAAGAGTAATTGTTTAGCTAGGAACATGTTTTCCATCTTAAAATTCTACCAAACAAAAATTCAAAAGCCTACATCATAGTTATTGTTTGGTTTAATTTTTTTGTTGTTGTTAACTATGAAGTGTTCTCCAAATCTGATTAAGCATGTAGGTATAGCGTGCTTATTTTAAAAAAAAAATCTTTGGCAGATGTGTGCAGATACCTTTGAACTTCTGTTAAAAAGAAATCCTGCCATCACAGCATAATCTGAGTGGAATATACAGTTTTGATTGGAGGAGTGAATATGGTATCTGCTTGAACCCTATTTTTATGAAACTGAAACATAATGAAGAATATTAGCTTCTTATTCAAATGCTATTCAACACTATCTAAGCATAAGATGAGAGCACTGAACACTTCTTGTAACAACTCCAGGAGTCTCCTGTTAACTCATATCTTTTATATACATGGAACATAGGAAGTTACTGTCTCAAAGCAGATGTGAGCAGTGTCAATCCTTTCAAGTAGGGTAAAATACAGTACTATTTCAGAATCGCTTTATCTATGGAGAACATTTGTTTGGAACCACATGACTGAGAGACCCGTTAGCTCGCCAAAATCCAGCCTGAACTGGCAAGGACTAATGAATGTTGTTACCAGGAGAAATGCTGGGGGTGGTTTCTAATGAAGGGAAAGGTATTTAAAGGAGAATGTCTTGCACCAAGCATATAGATAATGATGGTACAGCTCACTTAAATCTTACACAGCCATACTGCTGGCTGAATGATCCTGCGTGCTAAGCCAGGTTGCTGTCTAGGAGTATAGCTCTCTTAGTCTACTAACCTATGCTAGTTTCCCTGCACAAAGAAGGCTTCAGTTTCTCTAGAGTTAGAAGCTGGACACCTTCTGCTAGCACTGATAAAAGACTGAAGGAACATAGCTTCCAGTATTCATCCATGAAAGCATTAGCATTTGTCAGGCTTAGGCTTAGCATTACAAAGTTTATTCATTAAAAATATCTCATTTAATCTAGTCATTAATTTTAAGTTATTAGTTAGAAGTAAACTCATTTTAATGCCTACTAGCACTTTGTTAGGCTGCCTTTGTAGCTGGTTCGACATCCTATGCTGATCCAGGTTACTAAAGCCAAGGGCTAGAGAATCACCATACGGATAAAGCATGTGCCAATCTATTATGTGTGGAAGACAAGAGATGTTGCCAACAATTGCCCTTGCAACAGCAGCTACTAGTCTATGAAATAGCATTAACAGTTGGTGTACTTCTCACAGTTCCTTACTGAAGTCTGTGAGAAGAATTTAGTACTTCTCAGTCACCTGCCAGTGGTCACAGGTTCGTAAATGAAAATGGCACGCTGCTACACAAAGTTACTATGAAGGCTTGGAGGAAAAAAAATTATACTTTAATCCTTAGAGAAATGGACTTTTTGGAGGACAGCAGACTGAAAACACATTGCTACTATCCATTGATAAATACCTTTTATCTGTTAGCACCCTCCACTTGGCATCCTTAATATGCACTAATAAAACAAATCCAGAAAGCAAAACTGTAGTAAGAGGTCAGAATACTGATGTAAAAATAAGACAAACAGCACTTTCCTATTCTAGGAATGTGTCCAAATCAGATCTGGCTTTGGACTCGTAATGCTGTGTAGATTGAAGCTAAGATCTAACAACGGGAGTTAGAATATTTTTTTATATTTTTGTAACTACAGCTTTTTCATGGGGTAGTATTTGTAATCTAATAAGTCAATAGATTTTATATTTGCCTTGCATTTGCACCTGATACTTCTGGAAAAAAAAATGTAAAGGTTTACAAGTTTCTAATGATAATTTACAGGTGTGAAAGGCTTTTTGTTTTAAGTCAGGACAGCAATTCTTACACTTTTAAATCAAAATATAATGGCATAAACTGAGTTTTTTCTAAACATTCTATTATGGTGCCTTTTATGTTTCTGACATTATAAGGGATAACAATTTGTTCTTGATGCATCTCATATGGAAGGGTGGTGATTTCTATTGTCCATCCACAATATTTGTATGTACTGTGATAAGGTTAATGTGCATTTTTGTGGAACAATCCTGTAAAGCCAAGAGGCTTATTTTCAATGTCTCTGAAATATTTCATTAATAACAGACAATCCTTACTTTCAAATGCATGCTTCTAGGTTTGATTTTCCTACAGGTGCTCCTTATAATGGTACTTCAGATGTATGAGACTTCCAAATAATAAAGCACATGTTAAAAAAAAAAAGGTAATAGTTCTCCATTTCCTGTGTCACTGAAGCAACACTTGCTGGATTGCATTATGAGGCATTTAACTTCCTGTCAAACTATTATTTACTTTAATCCATGTACTTGATCATCAATTTTTGCGTCACTCAAATTTATTTGTCAAACTTGTTACCACGAAACTATTCCCTACCAACACAGAACTGTATGTAGAGATGGTCTTACGCATGTTTTATGCTCATAATTAATCATATCTTTTTATGTAAGGAGTTGTAACCAAGAGTTAAGCAAGCCAGGCTTCTTTCTTCACAGAGAGGATCAGTCAGTTGAGGCTGATCAACTGTGGCCTGAAACCTTTGGTGAGGGGTTTGTTTGGTATCGTTGGTTGTTTCCTCTTTAAAAACTTCTTACATAGCTTCTATGAGATTACATTTACAGAGCAACACAATCTTGTCTTTTTGCAGTGACACCTCAGAATTACTTCAGTGGTATTTGTCTGGCAATTCAAAAGAAAATTAAGTTTAGGGAAAGGGGAGCTAGTCCTGCTTCCCTAAACACATATGCATATGCCAGCACCACTAAAAAAAAAGCAAAAGCAGGCTACTCTCTTCTTTGTATCAGGTATTGGAGTGTTCTCTGGAGCAGAAACATTTCACTGGGTGTTTTGGGGAGTAGGTTGTTTGTTTCACAAAAAAGAACACGGTCTGATATAAAATGGTTATATTATGAATTGTCAGTCAGGCAAGTTTTTTTTGAGTGATATCCCATGGCTGTCCCATCTGGATCGGTTAGATAAGGGTACTGTGCCAGACGCATATGATACAGAAAAAGCTACTAACTTCAGAGAGCTTGCAACATCAACTATGTACACTGTGTGAAAACCAATGGTGTTTTAAAACACTATCTAAATTCCTTTTTATGCAGGTCCTTGGTCAGTAAAGAATACAGGTTTGATCATTTATACAAAACCTAAGGTACTCATACCTGTGGTGTGATTTTTTTATTTGGATGCATGTAAGATAGTTAAGTTTCTGCAAGGAATTTACTTTTAAGGATACGGCTTTGAATGTTTTTATACATTCAATACTAAGTGTAGTCATGCCTTTCTAATGTTCCTCATTATTACATGTTTATTAAATACTCTCTTCACCTGATTAGAATTTACACAACCTGTAACCATTTGCATCAGGCAGAACAAGTAATTCACTTCATTAGTTTTGAAGCACTGCACATTCTGCACACTGAACAGCAGTAAAATAGCTGAAACCAAAGCTCAGCTCCGAAACAGGGTCCTTCCTACACAGGAAAAAGGTTTCCCAAGTGCCTGTCCCGGCCCTGGGCCTGTGTTCGACACCCTCCGGCGCCGGCTGTTACTCACCCCCGGGATGAAACCGCTCATCGGCCCCACCGCAGCTCCTCAAGTGCCGAGGTCAGCAGCGGCCGCCTCGAAGCAATTAACAAAAAAGCGGAATTAATTTTGTTCCGCCAGGACACAGGGCGTGTGCGTGTGGATGCACGTGAGCCTGCCCGGCTCCTGTCAGGGCGCTGTGTGCCCGTCCGGCCGTGCCCAAGCCCATCCCTGGGGTACCGCTGAGACGCGGGACCCCAGCACTCCCGCACCCCCTTTCCCTCCCTTCTAAGAGGAGAGGCCGGGGGCTCCCGGGGCACCCTCCCTCCCCGTCCGCCCCGCCAATTCCCGCCCCACAGACGGGGACCGGGGGAGGAGGAGGAGGAGGGGAGGAAGAAGCCCCTGCCCTTACAAAAGCTCCCCGGCCGAGGAGTGGCGTGTGTGTCCTGCGGGGGGGTAGCCATGCCCCTGAGGAAGCCCGCGGGCAAGCGGCGCAGCACCGACTCGGGCGTGGAGCCCGACCGCGGGGCCCTCTCCCAGGAGAAGAAGGATCAGCGCATCGCGCTCTTCCTCAGCGACTTCGACCAGCAGGGTAGGGCCGGGGGCGGCGGAGAGGGTCTTGGGGCTGCCCCGCGCCCCGGGCGGGCGCCGGCGCCCGCAAGTGCTGAG